ATTATTTGGCATAACTATTAAAATGTTGTAACTACGGAGATAACTGTAACAATTTCATTTAGTTAACCTTTTTATTCAGTTTTTTGAAATTTCTGTGTTTTATACTTGATATAGACCAGTTGTTTCAATGTTGTTACATCGTAGATTAATGAATCAACTTCATCTATCAAGTATCTTGGGATTACTATAGACCAAAATCTGTCATTTTGCGCCATGGCCGAGTCTGTTCTTAAGAAGGCCAACTCTCGGTTAAAATTTTTTTACCGCAAGAAAGAGTTTCTTACTCAGCATACCAAGAAACTTCAGGTTATGTCTCTTATTCAGTGTCACTATGATTACGCATGCTCTGTTTGGTATAATAGCTTGACACAGTCTTTAAAAAATAAGTTACAAACTTGTCAAAAACAAAATAATGAGATTTGTACTTGACTTGGACTCCAGAGCCCACATTGACCCATCCCACTTTAAGTCCCTTAACTGGTTACCGGTCCACAAAAGAGTTGAACAGATAATGTTGTGTCATGTTTTTTAAGATAAAAATGGCCTATCTCCGGATTACATGTCTGAACACTTTATTTCGCAAGATTCCGTACATAATTATAGTACAAGACTTAGTCAAAAGGGTGGATATTGTCTACCTAAGGTCAAAGGCCAGGGTTCTAAATCCTTTGCTTTCTCTGGTATTAAATTATGGAATGATTTACCTGTAAAGTTAACGGAGATCAACAGGTTACAAAGTTTTAAGGTTGCCATCAAAAGTCATCTTATGAACAGTATTTAAAAAAATTTTAAACATGTTTTTACATATTTCGGCTCAGGATTTTAAATTGTCTGCTATTTATCTTATTACAATTTTAGTAATGTGTTTTAAATCCTAGCTGTAAACAGGAGTATCATTAACTCAAGATTTGACTGTGATATACATTTTTATGATTTATTAGTATTTTTAAACATGATTATATTTAGGTTTGCCTCTCTATGTCATGCCGCCAATACAAAGGACCACAATGGAAATAAGAGCTTTTTTGCCCTTTTTTGTGTTATCCTTGGTTTTGGTGAGCATGTCATAGTTTTACTCGTATGTGATATAGTATTTAATAATGCTCATTATTTTATCCTATGCTATATTGTCAACTATGTATATGCTTCCCTTTGCCGAAATAAATATATCTATCTATATTTTAGTGGTTTAAACATAATTGTTTTAAAAGCTCGTTTTCGAAAAAAGTTCGTGCAACATATTTTAATCACTTTCGAGGTCTGGTAGCCGTATGAAGATACATGATCGTGACCCGATTAGGGCACGAAACCATCATCCCTGGGTTGAGAGGCAGACACCTAAACCACCAGGCCACCGCTCCCCTTATTTATGTATTATATTAATGCATGGGGATTTTACAAATCCATAGCAATATATCTATTCTCGATGTAAATATTCCTATAAGGATTTTCTATATTACGTCATCACTTTAACATGTGATTATGCAATCCTCAGCTCCATAAACCAAATTATGCTCATATTTTAACATTCGAATTTTACACTTATTTTCCAGAATGCCAATGTACCTTTCCCGCCACATTAACAGGCACGTGGGTCTCAAGCAATGATGGCACGTGGGATATCAACTCTACTCATCTGCTCAATTACTATAGCGTGTCAAGTACAACCGGAATTACTATATCGCCTGGAGTGTCTCAATTAAATTTTGAATGTTTTGAGAATCGTGGCGATACAAAATATGTAATAAAGTAGGTAGATTGTGATATTATAATAAATAGAGGATATTCATGTTTTTACTATAAATACAGGATTTATTTTCATCGAGTGGTATGAAAATAAATATTTCATGAGTGGTGTTAGCCACAAGTGAAATATGATAATTTCCGTACCACAAGTTGAAAGTAAATCCTGTATTTATAGAAAGAACTTGAATTTTCTGTTATACATTTTTCTCTTTTTTTACATCACAGTATGAAATTTTCTTTAAATCTTGTATGTTGAGTGAATTTAGCAGAAAGTAGTCAGGCTAGACATCAGTGGAAATACGGAAAAATACGTTTCACTGCAATGAACATACGGAAAATATGCTTCACAGTAGTGAAAATACGGAAAATGAAAATACGCATTTTATTTCATCAATATTTTTTTTATAAAAGTATATAACAAATGTTACGATTGTATTGTTGCATTCAAATTACAATGCAAACTTTATTGTTATTTTATTATTAAAGTGGAAAAGCTTGACAAAGAAGTCTTTAACCCATTACTTCATATACACGCCTTTTAACGCCTTTTTCACCCCCCCCCCCTTTTTGTTGTCTCAAATGATGAAAAAATGCCTTATTTAGGCCCCAAACACTTGTTTTTGTTTGAGAAATGTTGTTAAAAAAATTGACCTCTTTTTCGGCGCGGCCCCCCAACCAAAAGATACATCAGGGGGTTGCCAGAAGGGGGATGTGCCCCCTTCTGTTTTGGGGGGTTTGAAGGGGGGCGGAGTCCCCCTCATCGCCAAGAAAATTTTGGACTTGTGAGAGGCTGTAAATGACCCCAGATTGATCATAAGGTAACGTGTAACCAACGCTGAGAAGCATTTTGACTCTATCTCAATCCATTGATAAGTTGCAGCACTTTGAAATCAATTTTGATGGAAAAAAATCAACGCAAAATAGTGATTTTTGGCAATTTTGAGATGTCCCCTCGTTGCCATGGTAACAGAAAATTTAAGTCTGAGCATGTTGTTGCAAGGACAATGGTCCAGTCAACATTTGTGCCAAGTTTGATTAGTGTTGAAGCAGTTTTTATAGTATTATAGCAATTTGAACTTGTAACGGGAGACTTTTCAATGAAAACAGCCATTTTTCAGAAAATGCTCATGAAGCAATGGGTTAATGAAAAAAATCAAAAAAATCTACAAAACAACAATTTTTCTTCAAATTTATATGACAGGGCCATGTTTAAACATGAAAAAACGCGATTTAGGGTAATTTCAAGTATTTTCATCATTTTCAGTTAACCCATTACTTCATATACACGCCTTTTAACGCCTTTTTCACCCCCCCCCCTTTTTGTTGTCTCAAATGATGAAAAAATGCCTTATTTAGGCCCCAAACACTTGTTTTTGTTTGAGAAATGTTGTTAAAAAAATTGACCTCTTTTTCGGCGCGGCCCCCCAACCAAAAGATACATCAGGGGGTTGCCAGAAGGGGGATGTGCCCCCTTCTGTTTTGGGGGGTTTGAAGGGGGGCGGAGTCCCCCTCATCGCCAAGAAAATTTTGGACTTGTGAGAGGCTGTAAATGACCCCAGATTGATCATAAGGTAACGTGTAACCAACGCTGAGAAGCATTTGACTCTATCTCAATCCATTGATAAGTTGCAGCACTTTGAAATCAATTTTGATGGAAAAAATCAACGCAAAATAGTGATTTTTGGCAATTTTGAGATGTCCCCTCGTTGCCATGGTAACAGAAAATTTAAGTCTGAGCATGTTGTTGCAAGGACAATGGTCCAGTCAACATTTGTGCCAAGTTTGATTAGTGTTGAAGCAGTTTTTATAGTATTATAGCAATTTGAACTTGTAACGGGAGACTTTTCAATGAAAACAGCCATTTTTCAGAAAATGCTCATGAAGCAATGGGTTAATGAAAAAAATCAAAAAAATCTACAAAACAACAATTTTTCTTCAAATTTATATGACAGGCCATGTTTAAACATGAAAAAACGCGATTTAGGGTAATTTCAAGTATTTTCATCATTTTCAGTTAACCCATTACTTCATATACACGCCTTTTAACGCCTTTTTCACCCCCCCCCTTTTGTTGTCTCAAATGATGAAAAAATGCCTTATTTAGGCCCCAAACACTTGTTTTTGTTTGAGAAATGTTGTTAAAAAAATTGACCTCTTTTTCGGCGCGGCCCCCCAACCAAAAAGATACATCAGGGGGTTGCCAGAAGGGGGATGTGCCCCCTTCTGTTTTGGGGGTTTGAAGGGGGGCGGAGTCCCCCTCATCGCCAAGAAAATTTTGGACTTGTGAGAGGCTGTAAATGACCCCAGATTGATCATAAGGTAACGTGTAACCAACGCTGAGAAGCATTTGACTCTATCTCAATCCATTGATAAGTTGCAGCACTTTGAAATCAATTTTGATGGAAAAAATCAACGCAAAATAGTGATTTTTGGCAATTTTGAGATGTCCCCTCGTTGCCATGGTAACAGAAAATTTAAGTCTGAGCATGTTGTTGCAAGGACAATGGTCCAGTCAACATTTGTGCCAAGTTTGATTAGTGTTGAAGCAGTTTTTATAGTATTATAGCAATTTGAACTTGTAACGGGAGACTTTTCAATGAAAACAGCCATTTTTCAGAAAATGCTCATGAAGCAATGGGTTAAGATAGGTATCATTGTAATCATCATCTACCCATTTGAATTCGATCTTTTTGCAGACTAGGTCCAAAATGTGCAACATAACTTTTTACCGGAAACATGGCGTTTTCTCTTTTCACAGAATGGCTCGGAATAGTGTCCCGTTGAATGTTCTATGATTACCACCGAATGACACAGTCACGAACGCGCTTTAATGATTCTTATTTCAGTGTTGAATTTTTTTTCCAAGCCGGTGCTGGGGTGCCATCGCTTTGCATTGAATATGTTCATCAATGTTAAGACTCACCCAAATCGTGTCTTTTACATTTTGTTGTGGTGACAACATTTACTCTTTCCAATTAACTATCTTATATATAAGTTTTTCTTTTTTAAAATTCAATTTAATGGTATGTAATGTTAAAAAAATAGTTTTGAACTGAACGCCAAGTTTGACAGAAAATGATTTATTGAAAAGGTATTATTCAACATCCCCTGAAATTAAAGCTGGCTACAACCAACAAATTTGAATCGATAACAAATGACTTCCAATGTAAATACTGTCCTTTTATAAGAAATAAAAGATATATGGGGAAAAGGTTAATATATAAGAATGTATTAAATAAATATATAATTTCAGAACAATATGGAGGCTATCTTGACAAAACGCATAATGTTTAAATGCCTAGTTTATTTAAATTTCTATTCAAATTTTTGTACAGCCTGACAAATAAACTCAATAGCACTGATTTCAGACGTGAAAGGAATATAATCGATAAGTTTAAATAAAAAATCAAAATGTAAATTTTAACTTTTACAGTTGAAAAGGGACAGTAGACACCAGTATAATGTATGCATTGTAATTGAAAAAACCAAATAGATTTGTGACTCATTTATACATTGTGCATTGCAAAAAAAAACGTCTATTGCCACTTTATAATTTTGATACGTCCATATTATGCGTATAAGATATGTTTTTTATGATATTTAAGAAATTATCAACTTCAACATTTAAATCAGCAAAGAAGGAATATTTTTCTCACCGAGGTGAGCATAATATTGCAAGCTCGTCATTTGAATAAACGCAAAGGCTAATTACCCCTCCTACCGTCCACGCCCAACTCCCCTTTCCGCACCCCTGCACCGCCTTACGCAAATTCAATATCTGAATTTTGTTTAAAGGTATATTTGAAAACATATGACATGTTTGAAAGTGTATTGATACGGTGGTAATGATAGAACTGCCTATAAGATAAATCAAACAACGATGCTCATTTTTTAAACAATTGCAATATGTAGTTTAAACATGACATAAATCTTCTACACTAAAATTTGTAAAGGTCGACGAAGGGTGGTAAAATTGAAAATATTGCTAGATCGGTTTGATCCTGCCGTTTAAGAGTCGACAAAGGCTTGTTCAAGGTACCACCCATCACCTTGAATGAAATTACAAATTAAAATTAGTAGATGTTGCAATCGTGAATCAAAAAAAAACATCAACATATTTTTTATACAGAACATTTATGGTGACAATTTTGTGTCAGATTGTAATTAGGAATTAAAAGAATATGTGTGCATAAAACAATAAACGCTTGAAAAAATTTTTTAAAAGCGTGCCAGAGGGTATGCTGTATGTACAATATTTTCATTCTAGCCATATATTCATTGACTTTTTTATGTATTTTCAGATCGGAGGAATTTACTTTACTCGGTGGGCAAAGGTCGATACATACTTGCATAGATATCAGGCAAACAACGGATAACAAACTTGTCTACTACCAAGCAACACGTAATTGTTTTACTTTTTAACTTTTTATATTATCCAAATATTAAAATAGTTTTAATGTGTATCATCCAAAGTAATTTTTTCAACTGTATATCCATTTTAAAGCATTTTAATATGAATTACTAATGCTACATTGAGATACATGCCTATTTCTTTTGATTTTTTAAATCTTAAAATCTTTTTTTTTTGTTTCAATTCTCTAGATAGAGAGAGCATTTCTTCGCTTCTGTTCTATTTGCAATTGTGATCTCACAACATTAAGTAATAGAAAGAGCACCAAAACACGATGCTATCTGATTTGTACGAGGGGGCGTAGCCCCCGTGTATAAATCTGATTGCCGAGTGTTTTGATGTTCTTTCTCTTTTGTATCATAGTCAAACATGAAAACACGTTCCCTGTTGTCACACTATGAAACCCCGGGAAAAAGTAACTAATGAACGAGCATCTGAATATGATATTTCTGTCGCGTTCCCTTTCTCTTCCGTCACAATAAGTAAACCCCAGCAAAAAGGAGCCAATCAATGGGCATGCTCTGGAGTGCGGGTAACTAATACCTGCACTCCAGTTAACGCACTGTGCTTTTTTATGTATACGATTTAACTTTGACACATTTTCAACAGAAAGGTCCCCAAACTGTGATATAATTAAAAAAATCTACTTCTATGTTGCTTGTTGTTTTGTTTTACCTTATGCATACAAAACAACTCCTTGCGTATTGGGCGTAACATGTGTTAAGTTTTCTTAATGAAAGGAACAGAATAAACAGTTTATCAATAAGTACATAATCATTATACATTTGTACATATATTGTACATTTACATAATTGTATCATAGTTTGGGGGCCCTTTCCCGTTGGAAATATAAAATCGGGTTTATTTAAATTTGGGGGGGTTACTTATTGTTTAAAAAAGGGGAAAAAAGGAGAAAAATCATAAATTTAGTGCTCGTTCATGGTTTTTCTTTTTTTTTTTGGGTTTTAAATTCTGGCCCCAACAGGGAACCGTGTTGTTTAATTTTTTGAAATTTTATAAAAAAAAAGAGAAAAAACCAAAAAAAACTCGGGAAAACTGATTTTTTAAATCGGGGGGCTAGCCCCCCGAAAATCAATGCCCAAACGTTTTTTGGGGGCTCCTTTTTTATAACATCGTAAAATATTTTAAAAATTTAAAAATTTGGGAAAAATAAAACAAAATCCCCAAAATTCCCCTTAAATTTAATGGATGAAACCCGTATTTTAAATTTTAAGCAAAAATGAAAAAATTAAAAATATAATAGTTTTTTCAGCCCATCTTCACAGCTTCATTTTGAAATAGCTCAGTAATATCGTTTCATCAAAGTTACCATGATTACTACTGTTCAGGTAATATACTGGATGGTTACTGTACAAGTTATATAATCGATGGTTATTGTATAGGTTATGTAACGGATGCTTTTCTGTACAGGTTATATAACGGATGGTTTTGTACAGGTTATATAACCGATGGTTTTCTGTACGTGTTATATAACCGATGGTTTTCTGTTCAGGTTATATAACCGATTAATCCACATACTACACCATTAAAATTGCTTTGTTCTGTTTTTGCAGAGGCGGACCCGTTTGGTTATCAGTTTACAATACAAGATGTGTATGACAACGTATGCAACACTGACTCATATGTACAGCCATACAATTACCATATCGCTCTAAAATCAGGTAAGATAAGACAAACAAAAATATATGCTATGTTTATTTTCATTTTATAATGATGCATTGACACCTGAAAGTAAAAAACAGCACTGTCTTTAACGACATGGTGAGAATGAAATAAGATAAAAGTCAGACAGATTTTATTTTGTTCAGTATAACGATAATAAAAGAGTAAATTCATAATCCGCGTTGAGAGCATCTATATATAAACTTACATGAATTATATTTGTATTTTAATTGGTTATAATGTTAACATTAATCCTTAGCATTTAAAGGAAAGTTTGCATTTAAGAAGGCTATGTCGTCCCGCATCTTTTTTTAAACTACATAATAATATACACAGTAAAATTTAAAGTGAGCTTAATCTAAATGTAAATTAAACCCTGGACAAAAACAGAACATTGCATTACATTTTCATTACATTACATTACATTACATTACATTACATTACATTGCAGTTTGCATTGCATTTGCATTGCATTACATTACATTACATCACATTACATCACATTACATTACATTGCATTACATTACATCACATTACATTGCATTACATTACACTGCATTACATTACATTACACTGCATTACATTACATTACACTGCATTACATTGCATTACATTACACTGCATATTACATTACATTACACTGCATTGCATTACATTACACTGCATTACATAAATTGCATTACATTTTAAATTACATTACATTGCATTGCATTGCATTACATAACATTACATTGCACTACATTACGATGTCCTTGAATGATTGGTATACGCGCATGTATTCAAATCATACAACATTCACGTTTACGTTGAGATAAAATTCAGAATTTAGTGTGTTAAATTTTTAGACAAGTTTGGATTAAAATATCAAATCGGAAAAAAAACAAATATTTGCATCGATTCCAATAACAAGAAAATATATGCTTCAATAAATAAGAATGTAAATTATGCATATACGTATTATTTAGGATACTGTATTGCCATTTTCACGTTATTTAAATCGATTATATAATTGTACGTTACCCAAATGGTATAAAATAGGAAATCGGGATATTACAATGTATGTTTGTATTTAGTATCCAGCTATCGATTTTGTAATATTTAGTTAAAATAAATTGTACATACCACTCCTATAAAGTCTTTTATTTGATTTTATTGCTCCTTTAAGTTTTTATAGTAAATGGTTCTTACCAATTCTAAATATATTGCTCTGAGGTACAGGGTGTTTATAAGGCATCTGACATTGAAAAAGAAATATTCATTTGAAACATTTGACACAAAATTTGGTACACCCCAAGACTACAGATAGTTGCAGTTGTTGTTGATTTATCATTCTTTCCTACACTTTGTAAAGATTGATTCGCCAAAATGTTACAAGGCGATGATTATGAAACTTACGTTTTTTGCCAATAAAATATTTTACTTAACTTGACTGCCTAGCTCGAATCACTAATATTATTTGGCACACAATAATTAATGGAGAGAAAAAAAACAAAAAACAAAAAAAAAAAAAACATAAAAACCAATGTCATGCAGCTGACCAAAAAACGAAGTTAGGTAAGTTATGTATCCAAACCAAAATTCCACAAACCATTATAATTAAATTGACAACGAACATATAGATAAAATTTGCAAATAAAGGTTTCTAATTTTAGTCTCTCTCACTCATTTCTTTTTTCTATTGCTTGAAGTACAAGAAAACAGACCTATATAGTTATGTTTATCCATTATTTTATTCTAGGTTCGGAGACAAGTGAGCTGCAAAAATGTCCAGCTGATTGTTTGGATCATACAATTATGACCACGTGTATTGATGTTAATTCCAACAGCACGAGTTGTAAACGTTTTTTGACACGAGGCAAACAACTTTCTTTAATTATACGTTATGCAACACACCGCAGATGTTTACATGTAAGAAAAAAATGCTCTGAAACAGATATATTCATCTTATTACTATTGAATATTTGAGCCTATTATTCCATGCTTAAATGAATTGAGTTAAATACTGCAGTCAAACATGCATTTGTATTTAAGACCACTTTCCTGTCAATAAAAACACTCTTCGACAAACCCATAAAAAACATGTATGTTCTCTCCTTTGGATTGTCTTTATTCGCAGATTTGAGTGTATATTGAAATATTGATATGAATCCTTGGCTTCTACATTTTAATTCCATGAGAGAATACAGCAGTGCATTTATTTCTGATACTATGTATTTCCCAAGCAAAATTTTATATTCCTGTTACAGTTTTGTGTACATTTTGTCCGGATGTACTGAAAACAGCCCAACCATGGCGATTCATATATAGTTATGAATCTGCTTTTTCTTATTAAAATTTTAAAAGACAGTAATAATCTAATTTGAAGAATAGAACTCAACTCTTTTAAATTCAAAAAATGTATTGGTTTTTATTCAAAATAAGAAAGAAAAACACGGGTTTCTAACTCAAAAATCTTCATCAAAGGTAACTTAGAAAATAGGAATTTTAAAAACGTATATGTTATATTTGTAGTGAAAGTGTTAGACGCTAACGATCAGAGGAAAGTGGGTCCCATCCCCCATCTGAAAATATACAACAGAGACAGTACTGCACCGGATAATAACAACTATTACCGATTTGTATGTTTGGTAGGTACACACATCATCACTGTATTTTTGATCCATGTTTTATTGATACTACAGGACTGAATACCGCCCAGACCGGTGTCGGGGGCATTAGAGATGATTGTTGTATTTTCTATTGTCTTTATAACGTCATCCCTACTACGATTTTTAACTACCTGGGTATATGTTTTTCGTTTTCGCTGCCTTCAAGAATCTCCCTTTTCCTGATACCATATATTATTCGATGCACTACAAGTCTATTAGAAATAAGATGATTAGTCAAGTCAGTAAATGTAGCAAGACATATCTGAAAGTCCTGCGCCCAACACCGTTGAAGGTTTTTACGCATAAACACGTTCACGTAATGATGAGAGGAATGTTTTGATTGCATTTTCTCATGAAAGTCTTTGTACAGCAGGAATAGCTCTAGAATTGAATAGAAATGGAATATATTTACACTCGTACTATCTTGGTTATTGAGTCACTGAACTTCTTTCTAAAACTTTCCAAACTTTATGTATAAACAGATAGTTTTCTTTCAAAAAAGGTACTCGAGGAGTTATATTAAACTTCAGCTTGAGTCCTTCAACCTTAACAGTTCATAGTTCAAAACAGCGCAAATTCATCATAAAATTTTAGCAGATTAGGTATTAAATCATAAGGACTATTCTGACAAGGAAGAAATGAAATGATAAAATTCTTTACACACATTCTTAAAGTTGTTCATACGTTTGAAATTGATTGATTGATTGATTGATTGAAACATTGTTGGTCTTAAAACATTTCATTCTTGTCCCTCTCAATTCAGCTATTGTATTGGGTATTGTCTACCTAAGGTCAAAGGTCAGGGTTCTAAATCCTTTGCTTTCTCTTGAATTAAATTATGGAATGATTTACCGGTAGAGTTAACGAAGATCAACAGGTTACAAAGTTTTTAAGGTTGCCATCAAAAGTCATCTTATGAACAGTATTTAATTATTTTTACTATGTTTTTACATATTTCGGCTCAGGATTTTAAATTGTCTGCTAATTATCTTTTTACAATTTTAGCATTGTGTTTTAAATCCTAGCTGTAAACAGGAGTGTCATTAACTCAAGATTTGACTGTGATATACATTTTTATGATTTATTAGTATTTTTAAACATGATTATATTTAGGTCTGCCTCTCTATGTCATGCCGCCAATACAAAGGACCACAATGGAAATAAGAGCTTTTTTCCCTTTTTTGTGTTATCCTTGGTGATGGTGAGCATGTCATAGTTTTCTCGTATGTGATATAGTATTTAATAATGCTCATTAATTTATCCTATGTTATGTTGTCAACTATGTATATGCTTCCTATGCCGAAATAAATCTATCTATCTATTAGCTTACTAAAGTTTGACTTACAAACATTGTTTTCTCTTAAATGACAGATGTAATGTTATCGTGTTGGTTAATTTCAGGTTGTTGTGTTGTCTGGCGGTGTTGTATATGTGACAGCTAGTCCTAAAGATGTAATGAAAACCAGAACGCTACTGCAATAGCTAGTTTGCTTAACTTGTGGTTGATAATTTTCAGGCTGTTGTGTTGTCTGCGGTGTTGTGTAGAAAAACCAAAA